ACGCGCCAGTCCTCTTGCCGACGACGACCAAGACCTATCCTTCGTGGTCGTTCCGTCGTCCACCACGAGCGTCGAAGTGGACGACCTCGCGGCTTCTCAGAGCTATGAGATGTGTGTCAGTTCGGTCAAGAGCGACGTGATGGGGAACCAGGCGTGCCGTAAAGTAAATCAAGGTGAGTCTGGACAGGGATCAGTGCGATGGCGCAGGACGAGAAGGAATACACGCTGATCTGTAATTAACGCTTTGGCTGTAAATCTTTATGATTATATAACTATAGTGAATATCTACTATGAAAGCGTTATTGAAACATGCACAAAAATCTTTTCACAAAAGAACGAAAACCAGACATACAAATCTTACGGGAAACCACTCTCTGTTTATAATGAAGGACTTATGATTTTCATTTCTTTAATGGAAAAAAAATCACGAAAGTGTCTTTCGATTAATGGAATGACAGTATATAGAATAAATTGATCATCTGTCTAAACCCAATAGATATGATGGATTTCTGGCAACCCCTGAAGAAAAAAGTACCATATTTTGGACGTTCTTTAATATGCACTAAACAGAAATATATATATATTTTTTCTCCGTCGTGTTATTCCTTATTATTAAATACTTTTCGCACAATTCCTCAACCAAAGAACACAGAAATGGTTTCTGATTAAGGGATTGACTGATTACTTAAAATCATCTCGCGCTAAGGATGCTCGCCAGCATTCGTGTCCCCAAAAGCCAAGACTTCAAAGTGCTTCGTCCAGTCACTCTCGCCCTTTCTCTTCCTCCGGCCTGGCCTCAGGGGACTACCAGCCACTCGACCTCCCGAAGAACCTGACGTTTGGGGACGAGGCGCTCCACTGGACTCCCGTCCCCGGGGCTAAGATATACCGGGTGGAGTGGCGACCTCGCTACGACGGCGACCTCTCGGAAGGAGGCCTGGAGGAGGTCAGTGGCACGACCTGGCCGACGCAGGACCTCGCTCCGGGGGCGTGGGTGGTGGAGGTCAGGGCGGCCTCGGACACGAGTGTGAGCGAGGCCAAGAGCATCAAGATACCGAAAATTGGTAAGCTTGTACTTCTGTGTATACGAATGCCTTTTATTCAATTCTAAGGCTTTTTCATGTTTTACTTTTTAAAATTATATTTTTTAGGCGTTATAGTTCTGATTTCTTGCCGCTGCGTCTTCTGTTTTTTTTTTTAAACATTTTTAAATATTATTAGAGTTAGTGAATGCCCATGGATTATCAGTGAACGCTAATGGCAAAAGAAAAACGGACCGACAGTATGTGCCTATTACATCTCTCTATCCCCATATCTATGTATAATGTATATGTACTTCACCCACCATGATTTTTTTTTTCTTTATTGTCGCCTCCACCAGGAATCACATTCGACCAAGCGACGCAGACGAACAACAGCCAACTGGAGGTCAGCTGGTGGGAAGAGCCCGTTCCCCCCTGCGCACAAACCTCCTGCGAATACATTATTACCCTTTCAATTAACGGGAAGGTGACGTTGTACGCCCATTCGTGTTCGGGACGTAAAGGGGACTGCGCGCAGCTGTTGAACGTGGAAGGAGCGTCGGAAATCAAGGTGGGGGTGGAGAGAGACACGTCCTCGCGGTCGGTGACACTGAAAGTCTACAATTTCCCGGGTGAGTGGCTTCGAGAAGGACCGCGGAGGGAGTCGGTAGTCGGGTTGTTGATTATGAATATTATTTTTAATAATCATCAAATTTCTTTCCATTGGATTAGTTTGGCTGTGCTCTCTCTTATTTTGTTTTATTTATTCCATGATTATCATGATTACTGACAATATCGTCCTCAGTATATCAAAGGAAATATAACCAAACTAATTACAGTAAGAATAACGAAGAGAACAACGATAAGAAAAATAATTGAGAACGAAAATAAGGAATATGAAAAGATCATCATATTTTGAAATGAAGGGACAAGTTGCCGAGTAGATCAGTGTACAGTTGGGGACAAAGGAAAGGCCTACCGCACTGGCAGCTTACTCATTTGCAGGTGTTCTCCACGTTGTCATGTCTCAAGAGATTGCCAGACTTAACATTTCGTCTAAAAAATGTGTAACTACTGTGGTTGTCTCGAATTATGTGGGTCAGATTCTTGTGCAGAGACTTCCAGTAAGAACTTTATTACTGACATCAGTGGCCTTTGGGAACCTCACATAACACTGCAGAACACCTTGTTGAATATGATGCCAACGCTTCAGTTGTCCCCGACGGTTATAATGGCAAAAGAAAGAAAAATATGCTAATATAAATATGAAAAAATAAAACATTGATTCAAATAACAACAGTTAAAATACCAACGAAGACCCAAGCACATGGCCACAGCACCCGCGGAGGCGCAGACCCCCCAGGCTCCCCCACCAAGCACGGGAGCACATTTCCGGCTAGGCAGACGAACGCACGCACTGACCCCCCACCCCTCCTTCCCCCCGCAGCCGTGGCCGAACTGCGCCAGAGCTTCTCCTCGGGCGGCGAGGCGGTGACGCTGTCGTGGGCGGCGACGGAGGGCGCCAAACTGTACAACGTCACCCTGTTCGCCGACGCCGCCTTGGCCTCCGTCAGGCGGACTGAGATGATCAGCCAGCAGACGTGAGTTGCCGGGCAGAGGGGCGTGTCCATGTGCATGTGCGTGTGTGTGTGCATGTGCGTGTGTGCATGGAGAATAGTTAATATGTTTTTGCTTTCGGGTCCCAGAGCAGCTCTTACTGCAACTGTTAAACCGTGATAATGCTAACTGACATTGAAAAAAAAAATCTTGTAATTACCAAAATGGCCAGTAGGGATAACAATTATTAGTCTAATGCTGATAAATTAACAATAATAATGATTCAAAACAAGAATAGTTGTGATTAATCCCTTATAGATGGCAACAGTATGAAATACATGAAATATCCTTACAAGTATATAATATGAATACCATAAAAAGATATATGTATATATATATATATGTGTGTGTGTGTGTGTGTGTGCGTGTGTGTATATCTGTATATATATGCACACATATATATCAGTAACAAACATAATCCCACTAGAATTACCTTTTTTCTACTGACCAGGTATACTTTGACTGGAAGCAATCTGGTAAATAACGTGTTCCAAGTTCAACCCTGCGAAGGTATATCCTTTTGCGGCGACCCTCAAAGTATCACACTGCAGGACACTCCGGATGAGAAAGGTGGGGAAAAGAGCGAATAGATAAGTGGCAAAGGGGAATGAAAGGGGGGCAGGGGAAAAGAGGGAGGGAGACAGATGGAAGGGAAGAGAAAGAGGGAGACAAAGGGAAGGGAAGAGAAGGAGGGAGACAAAGGGAAGGGAAGAGAAGGAGGGAGACAAAGGGAAGGGAAGAGAAGGAGGAAGACAGAGGGAAGGGAAGAGAAGGAGGGAGACAGAGGGAAGGGAAGAGAAGGAGGGAGACAGATGGAAGGGAAGAGAAGGAGGGAGTCAGAGGGAAGGAAAGAGGAGGGAGACAGAAGGAAGGGAACGAAGAGAGACGGAGGGATGGGGAGAGACAGACAGAAGGGAAGGGAGGGATGAGGGAGGGGGAGGGACTGAGGTAAGGGAGGGAACGGAAAAAGGGAAAAGGGGAAAGGAATGCGGGGAGGAGGGAAGGAGGGCGCGAAGAAAAGGAAGGAGGGAGGGAGGGAGAGAGACTAATGAGGGACAAATGGGTAGATGAGATCTCGTGATTGTTCTACGTGCATTCAGGCGTGTATTACAATCACATGACATTTGACATAATCTGTCAACGAATAGAAGGGGTCTATCATCCGATTTTTTTTTCCAGAATCGAAGACTTGTTTTGATCAGCTAATTACGAGAAAACCAATTGCAAACAACCTTGCTTGCTTGTAACCCTAACCGAATAAAATTAATAGATAACACACAAACCATATCTTTTTTGCTTTTCACAAATTTTAACACCCAACCCATCCATATTATAAACTTCGACTGAGCACATACCACAAAGTTTACCAATTATCTTTATAAATACCATGATAAACACTCTCCTATTAACCGCTATTAACCTCTGTCCTCCAGCGAAAGACAAGACGGTTATTATCATCGTCTCAGTCGTCGGCGGGGTCGTGGGGGTCGTTGTCATCGTCTCTTTCGTGGCTGCTGCTGTGTGAGTCATCTTGTGTTGTTTCAGGGGAAAGACTCCATTGGGTTTTCAGCAATTTAGTTTTTGTTTTGATATTTGGAAATACTTCTATTTTCTATTCTTATAGTTGATTTAGCTGTACACAAGTTTACTAAAACCACTCAGTAAAAATCTTACACAGAGTAAATGATAACGATAAGCTCAAAGTCTTAAAATTCATTAAATATCTAGAATTATTCTTCTGATCCGTAATCCAACAAGGATAAAATTTTCGACTTAACTTCCCTTCATTTTTCAGGATGAAGACAAAGAAAAGGAAAGAAAATTTACGTCGACAGGAAGAACCGCCAGTGGCAGTAAGGAGAAAGAAAGAAAGAGAGAGAGAGGGAAAGATAAAGATAAAGATAGATAGATAGATAGATAGATAGATAGATAGAGAGAGAGAGGGAGAGGGGGAGAGAGGGAGAGAGGGAGATAGATAGATATAGAGAGAGAGAGAGAGAGAGAGAGAAGTAGACAGATAGATAGATAGATAGAGAGAGAGAGAGAAGAGAGAGAGAGAGAGAGAAGGGGGAGAGAGGGAGAGAGAAGGGGGAGAGAAGGGGGAGAGAGGGAGAGAGAGGGAGAGAGAAGGGGAGAGAGAAGGGGAGAGAGGGAGAGAGAGAGGGAGAGGGAGAGGGAGAGGGAGAGGGAGAGGGAGAGGGAGGGAGGGAGGGAGGGAGGGAGGGAGGGAGGGAGAGAGAGAGAGAGAGAGAGAGAGAGAGAGAGAGAGAGAGAGAGAGAGAGAGAGAGAGAGAGAAGGGAGAGAGAGAGAGAGAGAGAGAAGGGAGAGAGAGAGAGAGAGAAGGGGGAGAGAGGGAGAGAGAAGAGGAAAGAGGGAGAGAGAGGGAGAGGGAGGGAGGGAGGGAGGGAGGGAGGAGAGAGAGAGAGAGAGAGAGAGAGAGAGAGAGAGAGAGAGAGAGAGAGAGAGAGAGAGAGAGAGAGAGAAGGAGAGAGAGAGAGGGGAGGGAGAGGAAGAGAGAAAGAGAGCGAGGGAAAGAGGGTTGGGGGAGGAAAACAGAGGGAGAGGGAGAGGAAGAGGGTAAGAGAGGGAGAGGAAGAGAAAGGGAGAAGAGGAAGGGAGAGGAAGAGGAAGGATGAGAAAGAGGAAGAGAGAAAGAGGTATGGAGGGAAGGAAGAAGAGAAAGAAAGAAAGAGAGAGAGGGGGAAGAGGAAGGAAGGTAGGAATGACGAGAAAAAACAAAAACAAAAACAAAAAAGAGAGAAGATTAAGAACTTAAAAAAAACAACTTAATTCGTAAATTCAAGAACAGCAAATTCAACTTCTAAAACCAAAATCTCCTGATTATATATATATATATATATATATATATATATATATATATATATATATATATATATATATATATATATGTGTGTGTGTGTGTGTGTGTGTGTGTGTGTGTGTGTGTGTGTGTGTGTGTGTGTGTGTGTGTGTGTGTGTGTATTAACTCAAGTAACTAAACATCTCCCTCAGCTCCCAGTCTACGACGAGTGGGGGGCAAGGCGCCTCGGTCAAAGAGCTAGACCTTCATCAGAGGTTTGTTTATTTTGTGTTTGTTTTTTTGCTTTCTTTTAGCTATTTATATAGGTACGATGTGAGTAAATGGGAAATTCAGTAGATACGGAAAATTATTATTATGATCATTATTATTATTATTATCATCATCATTATTTTAGGTGAATACAATGTAGGTCTGATAACATCTTGGCGTAATTGGAATTTGGATATTTTGTTTCAGCATCAATAGGTGGGGAAGGCGTGGTAGGGTATCAAGTATTTTGTGAAGTAAAAGCGAAAATTGCGAGATAAACCAATTATATTCCAGTGATGATTATTCACAGTATTATAGAGGACTCTCCTGCCTATGACCCTTTAATAGATGGTGTCTTCCCCGCCCTCATTCTTCATATGTTTTGGTAGGATATAGCCCGGGTAAACACGTTGATTCAGTACAGTTCTGGGTAAAATCTTATCTTAGAGCAATTATTCCAGACGTGAATCCATATATGCATCAGCTATGCTTCGTTATTCTTATGAATGATAATATTTTTCTTTTTGAGTCGCTATGAAGGAGCTGGCTTGAATTTTTAGCTCCCACTCTGGCCAGGCGTCTGTTGTCACGTGATTATCTTCTATAATGCTAATTGGCTCTCATGCAACTACATCAGTGTGAATCATTACGTCTCGCTCAAATACGTAGCTGCTTATTGGTCCATTTGCTATCTCGCGCTAAAGTCTCCCGCTTCGAATACATCCAATTTTAATGTCTTCTTCTTCTTATTATTATTATTATCTTCTTGATTCTCCCTTTCTCGTTTTGTTATTGATTTGCATCATAACCCTAAGTTGTATACTTTGTCCTACGGTTAACGATCTAAATACATTTTCACTTTTTAGCTATTTAAGTTATTTAAGCTTGGATTACCAAAAAATCACTTTTAAGAAAGGGATTATAAACGACTTTTAATGTGATGAGAATATGCGAAATAAATGTGCATGAACATGATTTCGTTTTGTATATGTTTGTGTGTAAGGCTACAACAAGCACCTTCAGTTTATACAAAAAAGAAAGAAAGAAAAGAACTATACAGATATTTATATATATTTTATTTATTAATTTATTATTATTTTCATTTCATTTTATATATTTTATTTATTTACATATTTATCATTATCATTTTATTTTATTTTATTTATTTATTTATTTTTAGGCCACTTGACTTGAAACGCCTCTCTCCTCTTCAGGTCCCAGTCTACGACGATTGGGGGGCGCGGCGCCTCGGTCACAGAGCCCAACCGCCATCTCAGGTTTGTGAGGTTCTATCTAAATATTAATCTAATTATTTAATCATTTACTTATTTATTTATCATCAACCCAATCACCACGGTTTTATGTACTGTCTCGTGGATTTTTTTTTGGTGAATTTTGTTGCATACACATGTCCTTAGCCAGCAAGGAGTCTATCAGAAGAGCCTAGTGACCGTTTCTCCATTCCTTGAACTTGCGGGAAAATGTGCTTTTGTTTCTTGTACTATTGATTACCTTATTATTCTTGCTGATATTATGATTATTAAATTGTTATTAAAGTCTTGCTAACATTAAAGACAATGAAATAATACAAAAGAAAAAGATAAACAGGTGAAATAGGTAGGACTAATAACTGACTCCTTGGTGGCTAAGCACTTCTGGAGCCATGTATGTGTAAATACAATAAATAAACAGTGGCATGGCATGTATTATTGTCATCCCTGCTGATTGGGTTAACAATTATACTGATGATAATAATGATGATAATAACATGATAATGATTAATGATGATG